GGGTTTTCTGGATCCATATGCTGAGATGGAGTTTGAAGTTAATGCTTTTATAGAGGTCAATACCCTGGAAGGAAGAGGGGGGCGGAAGTAGAACTGGACAGAGATACAAGTCAAACTAGTGCAAGCCCTACAAAGTCCCAGGAACCCATCAGGGTGCTCCGGAGGGAATGTTGCTGAGGATGGGCTAACATGAGAGACTAGGATGCATGGGAGCCACAGATGTAAAGGCACTTCTTACCCAACGAAATGTTCTTTTCCATGGATCTTCCTGGGTATTTGCTAGAGAGTTCAGGGACATGGAAGGAACTGAGAAAGGCTCCTTCTTGGTGTATGCTTGGAGGAAGAGAGAGCAGCTGGAAAGGCACAATCCACTCAGATCCTTCTCCCCATATCTCCTCTATGGTACAAAATCCTTAAGCTGCTGGTGGAGAGGCAGCAAGTCCTATTGCCCTATTGCAACTTAGAGAAGGGTACAGAAAAACAAAATGAAACAAAACAGAAATCCTAGCTCTATTGGAGAAGCAGGAAATCAATCTGCATTCAGATCATTAGAAATTTCCTGCCTCCGGGGGGTACTCAGTCACTGATAAAGTCCTAGGCTGGAGACCCAGTGATGGCCTGAGTGAGACAGAGGATGAACCAGGACAGCAGAAAATGATTCTGCCCACCCACTCCAGGCTAGCAATCATCACTAATAACAAACTTCTAACATCAGAGAAGAGCAAAAACATGGAGAGAGACCTCACTGAAGCACGGACTGATGCAGAAAATACCGAAGGCTGAGGGCAGAGGAGGATCATTGAGAAAAACCCTCCAGCAACCCAGTTTCACCCTAAGCACAAGAGACACTAGAGGAATGTGAAGTCAGTGATGCACTGAGAATAATGGTAGGAGCGACAAAATCCAATTGTTGGCTAGATTTGCTCACTTCCTCTAAACTAAAAGCCTATCAGAACAAGGGGCCTGCTCACTTCCAAGCATGAACACTTTTTACCCTGATCTCTACTCTCCTATACATGTTGTTTGGCTTTCAGCCTAGAATTAAGGGTCACACATAAAAAAAGTAAGAAAAAATAACCCTCTGTCAAGAGACAAAAATATCAGCAGAATCAGAGTCTTATATGACCCAGATGTTGAAGTTATCTGGCAGGGAATTTAAATTAAACATGTTTAAGATATTAAAGCTTTTGGTGGTAAAGGTAGACTACAATATGAAAACATGAGTAATTTCAGCAGAGAGGTTTAAGACTACAAGAAAGAATCAAAGGGAAGTATTAGAAATTTTTTCAACACCACACATGTTGATAGTGGTGAAAAATCCCTTTAATGGGCTCACCAGCAGACTCTGCACAGCTGAGGAAAAGTTAATGAACTTGAAGATAGGTCAATAGAAATTACTCAAAATGAAACAAAAGAGAAAAATGAGCAAAAAGTCAGAACAGAGAGTAAAGGATTTGTGTGATAATATCAAACAATCTAACATTGGTATAAATGGCATCTCACAGCAGACAGGAGAGAGAATGGAGCAGGAATATTTGAACAGATATTGGTGGAGAATTTTCCAAAATAAAGAAAGTTATCAATCACCAGAGCTAGAAATCTCAGAGAGCACCAAGAATAAATATCTACCCCAAACACACCTAGACACACTGTATTCACACTGGAAGGAATCTAAAAATAAAGAGAACATATTGAAGGTTGCCAGAGAAAAAAGATAAATTACATACAGAAGAATAAATTTAAAGATCCCAATAGATGTCTCATCTAAAACTATACAGATAACTGGATTGTAGAGTTAAACCTGTGTACTAAAAAAAAAAAAATAAATGAATGAGAAATAAAGATGTTTTCAGTGAAGCAAACTGAAACCAAACACCACCACCACTACTATGACCATTACAGCTGGCGACAACAAAACAGAGAATCCATTACCTGCAAGACTACGTTACAAAAGAAGTTAAAGCAAAGCAAGTAAAATTTGCATATTCAGGAATTTCTCTAAAAGACAATCGCTCATTTAAATAAAAACGACAGCAATTTGTTTATCCCATATGTAAAAATAAAATTTATGACCATAGCACAAAGAAGAGAACAAAATGAGAATATTCTGGTACTACACATGAAGTAACACAATATTATTTGATGATAGACCAGTTAATTAAATTTGTATGCTGCAGTCCTTGGAGAAACCAATTTTTACCTTTAAATAGTTTGTATTTCTAAAGTAGTATGAAGTAAGTAAATAGTAGAGTTAAAATGAAATCATAAAAAGTACTCACTGCAAAAAAGGGCAAAAAGTGATAAATGTGATAAAAAAGGAACATATCTCTTTGAGCTTGGTAGATTTAACCTAAACATTTAAAATTACGTTAAATGCAAATGGTCTAATCATAAAAGTTCAAGACTGTGATTGTTTGGATAAAAAAAATCAAGACCCAATCATATGGTGTAAACATAAAATAACGATAAAGATCATGGAAGAAAATGATCAAGAGATTAATATGTTAAGAATTTCCAGTCTCTAAATTTTTCTACTCAAAAATTTGTTTTTTCCTAAAGCAGTAGTGCAAATATGAGAACACAAAAAAAAATGGAAAGCATTTTTGGAGTCATTTTTTTCATGGATTTTTTAGGCTATATATATCCCATAAACTTAACCATCATTATAAAGTTTAAGAAATAATTTGTCTGGGGCCAGCCTGGTGGCATAGTGGCTGAGTTAGCACACCTTCACTTCAGCAGCCCAGGGGTCATGGACGTGGATCCTGGGTGCAGACCCACACCCTGCTGATCAAGCTGTGCTGTGGCAGCATCCCACATACAAAAAGTGAAGGAGAATGAGCAGAAATGTTGGCTCGGGGGCAGTCTTCCTCCAGCAAGGGGAGGGGGATTGGCAGCAGATGTTAGCTCAGGGCCAATCTTCCTCACAAAAAAGAAAAGAAAAGAAATAATTTGTCTGAACCAATAATTCACTTCAATATTTTTCCTTATTTGATCTGAACCGCAGATGTAGGTGGGCATCTGTGAATAGTTTGCACATGACTGTTCAGTCCATATGTTCTTTTCTGAAAATAACCCACTTATTGTCTGTGTAAAATGGAGGATTATTGCCAATTATTTTTATGCTATGACTGTGTTAGTCGTTGTCCACAGTTTCATTGGAGCTAGCATGTACAACTAGAAGGTAAACCAATACAGCGGGTACGTGCCACCAAACAAGCTCTGTCTTTAGGAAATTTACATTCTGACAAGGGTAGGTCAGTTAGTTGTAGGCTGTGAGTGCATAACTTGTAAACTGATGTAGGCTCTAGAACTTTGGGGAGAAATGATGATGATTCATGCTCAAATGGAGCAAAGGAATCAGTCTCTATATAGCAAGGGAAGAATAGATTCAATGCACAGAGAGAAATAGAAATGAGTTCTCAGAAAGTTCAAGAAATATAAAGGGCACTTTATTTGGTTCTTGATGAGTTTTTAGCTCTTGGTTCTAATATCTAATAAAAACCATTTGCCCTTTCATCCCACTGTTTTCATGCAGTATTGTACTACATATAAATCCTCTTCCTTTTTTCCTTAATTTACTTTGCCTATTTCACTCCATAAAGCTAAATTACTTTAATTTTTAATTAGTAATATAATCACTAATCAAGATACTGCCAACTATCATTTCTAATATGGAACAGAACAATTCCTACTGGATTAAAGCCATCAGTAGAAAACATATGTATTATTTTGTAACGATATACTCAGAAATTTGTCATGTGTTTATTGCATTGCAACCACAAATGTGCCATTTTCTTATAGCTATCCTTGAACACATATATTACAGAACAGAAATAAAGGCCTCTAAATGATATCCATGTCTGAACCCCCAGAACACATGAATAGATTAACTTACACAACAAAAGAGATTTGCAGATGTGACCGAATTGGAATCTTGAGATGGGAGCTTGTCCTGGGTAATTTGGGTGGACCTGTTATAATCACAATGGTCCCTATAAGCAAAAAAATGGAGTCAGAACGGTCAGAATCAGAGAGATTTGAAGCCACTACGCTACTGGTTTCAAGGATGAAAGAAAGAGCCATGAAGCAAGGACTGAAGGCAGGCTCTAGAAGCTGCAAAAGACAAGAGAATTGATTGTACCCTTCAGCCTCCAGAAGGAACCCAGACCTGTCAGTACTTTGATTTTTGTCCGGTGAAATCCATTTCAGACTTGTGATCTCCAGCACTATATTAAAAAATATAATACATTTGTGTGGTTTTAAAGCCTCTGAATTTGTGGTCATTTGTTATAGTAGCAAAAGGAAACTAATACAAAAGTTATTAGCAAATGAAGATTTCTATGAATGATAGAGCTGCTGTAATTCAATATGGGTATACTTTGTGGTTTTGTATTCCTGAAGTTTATGCTATAGTAATAATTTATTTATTTATGTATTTATTTATTTAAAGATTGGCACCCGAGCTAACATCTGTTGCCAATCTTTTTTTGGTCTTCTTTTTCTTCTCTCCAAAGCCCCCCTGTACATAGTTTTATATCCTAGTTGTAGATCTTTCTGGCTCTGCTATGTGGGGCACTGCCTCAGCACGGCCTGATGAGTGGTGCTAGGTCTGTGCCCAGGATCCAAACCAGCAAAACCCTGGGCTGAGAAGCAGAGCACGTGGACGTAACCACTCAGCTACTGGGCCAGCCACCCTGTCTCTTCTTAAAGGAAAGAAATTTTGCCCTCTGTGACCCTGAAGTACTCTAAAAATATAGACTAGAAAAAGAGATGCTCAGAACACAATTTTCTAACTTTGAGAGAACTAATAACTTCCCAAAACATTGATAAATCAGGTAATACATTATAAACTAATAGTTCATTTTTAAGCGTTTTAGAAATCCAAATATCCTTTTAAAATCTTCTGCCTCTTGACTACTGACCATGAAAATCCATTCCTTCAAATTTTGTGAACTTAATTTAGGTAGAACAAAATCCAAAAGTCCAAGAAACTTTTATGACCTTTATTAATTTAACAGCATTTGTCAGTTATTTAACCCAATCTACATTGGGAAGTTAAACTTTAATTATTATTAATGTTAATTCCATAATTATTAATTAAGTAAATTAACAGCAACATTAAATCAAATTTTAAAATATGGGCACAGACAGTGACAAAATTAAGCAAACATGCAAAGACTAATCTTTGAGAATACTGTTCCTTGAGAAATTATCATTATGGATAAATTTTGAGAAGCAGTTAATTAAAAAAGTGAAGGATGAATTCCAAAATCTCTAGAAACAGTTTCCTTGCAACTTTTACCTTCATTAAAGTTTTCCATACAGTAAAAGACAATGTTCCTAGAAAAATAAAGATATTTAAAAGTTGTAGGTAAAATTTTAATTTTTATTCCAAATGTTGAAATCATTTAAAACAAAATTTAATTTAGTTAGTATGAAATCAGCATGTTTTCATATTCATTCTTAATAAAACATAGTTCGCTATTTAAAATTAGTTTATGCCTTCACATTCAAACTTATAAGATACATAAGTAACTAAAGAGAATAATGAATACAGCAATGATTAAAGAAATGAAAACTCATAAAAAGTGAAGTGATATTTTTCACATATCAGACAGTTGCAAATTAAAAAATTTACTAATACTACTTTTTGGTGTCTTTGCAGAAACTTGAGCCTTAATAAACAGTTTGTGTTGTTTTGTTTTGTTTTTATTTTGACATGGATAGAATCTATAGCACATTCTTTAACTGCCATTTGGCAATACCTGGCCCATGAATTCATTCCTAGTAATTTAATGTGTCACTATTCTAACAAATTAGACTAATGAAAGAACACATTGAATGGCACCTTTGCATTGCCTGAAACTGGAGAGAATATAAATCCATTCAGTGGAAAGCTGTTATTTAAAGAGAATGATGTCTGTCAATATTTGCTGACTTGCTAATTTCTCAAATATACATGGTTAATGAAAAAGATATAGCACAGAGCAGTGCCATTCCTATCATGTCTTCTATGCAAACAACACAATTTTGTCAAATAATTTATTCATTTATTTATAGTCACTAATTTATGTGAATACGTTTTTGTAGAAGTGATTCTGAAACTTTAAAAAAATTTATCAGGCAAGAAATCAAGGTATGAGGTTAAGAGATGATTATGAAAGAGTAAGTTTTATTTACATTGAATAACTTTCTGTAGTGTTTTAATTTTTAATAAAAGTCATATGGAATATATTTTAAAAATAACTATAAATAAAATTATAGCCATAAAAATGACATTATTAAGAAATGGAGAAGTATTTAGTAGTGGTGTGAATTTTGAGTGGAACAAACGTGTTCAGAATGGATTGGTCAGTTAATGAGCAAGAAAGAAAGATACAGAAGTTTTGAACCTGGACCTACTGTTCTTTTCCCGCTATTGATTCTCTGTCAGGAAAATCATGTTTATTTCCCATGGTTTTGTTTCATGAGCAGCTATTTTCCTTAACATCCCTGGCCCTTTGCCTCTCCGTGGAGGTTCCTGATGGGTGGCTGACAATTGGTTGGAGCTTATTTATCAAAAGTCTCAAGAGTCAGGAATCACTCTTTCCCCCATATTATTTTACTAGCAGTGAGGCAGGGAGACCATAAAAGTAAGTGGTCTATTCCTTAGACTACACTTTCCCTTGCGTGGCTTTTCCCAATTCTGGTCGAGGTACATAAATAATTACTTAAAAAAATGCCAGAATAATGAAGACTTGAAATCTCAAAAATATCAAGCTATAAAGGTTAAAATACAAGGAAATTCAACCCAGTTTCTGGTGCAAAACAAAATCTTGAATTTTCTGTTGTCAAAAATGTAGCTGAATATTATGTTAAAAAGTTTGTTCAATATATGTTTACTGACTATAAACAAAATGTGTTCAATAGCAAAAATATTTTTATTAATGATATTATACTTACTATTAGTTTTTCTATACTTGTGTTAATTAAAAATATTTCAGCACTGTTTCTGAATTCTGAGCATTGTGAGCACGCATTTAGTACAGGAAGCTAGGAAGCAAGATAGCTAGTTTAACTATACTCCAATTTGTCATTTTTTCTTTTTCTTTTTATTGTAACCTATAGAGAAAATTCAAAACTCCTTAACAAATCTAAAGTTAATTTTAGTAAAACTAAAGCTTAAAAAAATCTAGAAATCTCTTATATACAATCTTTAAATGAAATCAAGTCTAACCATCCACTCAGTCCCTCACTCATTACATGCTAGGACGTCAGAATTTGTTTATATCATCTGGGCCTAGATTGTACTTTGTATATCTAACAATGTGGCAAAGATGACTGGCAGATCAACAGATTTTGTGATTTCTCTGTCGGTGGAGCTCAGACAAGGATTAAATTTCCCAAGTCCCTTCCATTCCCCATCTAGTGGCGCCGTATGACTATTCTTGACAAAAGTATGTGAGATCAAGTTATGTTTGTTGCTTCTGGTTCTAGGCCTTAGAAAAGGGACTCCCCTTTAAGCTCTCTAATTCCGTTAATTTTTTAATGGGAGCACAATGGTGAAGTTGTGAAGATTGATGGAGCCACAGAGGGAAGGATCCTGGGTCCCTGAATTATCATGGAGGAAAGGCTCCTGTTAGTTCAGTAAACATCCTGAATCATCATGTGAGCCAGAAATAGAATGCTATTGGGTTTTGCCATTACGATTTGAAGGTTTATTTATTAAAACAGCAAGTATTAGCCTGAGAAATGCATGCACAATTTTTAAATTTAATATACAATGTATTCATTTTTATTTTGACTCAGATCTTATTTTCTAATTTTGCTTTAAGAAATAGAAATTAAACACACACACATATATGTGTGTATACATGTATGCACCCATATTAATATATATTTATAAAAATATATAAATATATATTTTTTCCTCAGTAGAACAAGGGTAAATGGTACCTGGGAAATAGAAGAAAGTAATTTTCAAATTTACCATTATGTTTTCGACTATTAGTAAACCTAGGATTTGGAAAATTTAGAGAAATATACCTCCTCCAAAATGGGAATTTTGAGGGGTCAGATTTCTTTGTGTCTATAACTTGCAGAACTGAATAAGGAAAGTTCCTGTAACAATTTATTTCATGGTTCTGTTAATCATGGCAAGTGTCATTATCATGCTTATTACATTTTTCACTTAAAAACAAACCAAAATAAAATAAAATAGTAAAACTTATCCAAGAAAGAAATAAAGATTCCTATTACCTTCTGGCCGAACTAAGATGCAGTGATATTGATCTGCTGTCTTTGTGCAAGGACCTCAGAGGAGAGGACATTCCAAGAGAGGAAAAGACTATAACATGTGCTCATTAAATAAAACCTGTCATAAGCCCACAAGGATTATTGTTAAAATTTTGAAAGAGATACCTATAGGAAGTCAACATTTCCTTGTTTAGATAGCCTGCTGTAATGATTTATAATTATGATTCTAATGTTATTTCATTACCTATGAAATCAACACAACGTATAGAAATTACAAAAAAATAATGACTTGAGGTCTCTTACCTGTATATTCATGCACTTTGCGGATAAAATTTAGAGCAAGCAGGACTGTGTTCTGAAAGCCAGTAAAGTCCTTGATGAAAGGGGCTATATCCCCACTAGCAAGCATCCGTGTCGGCAGGCCCTTCTGGAATTCATACATTCTAGTTAAAGTTGTAGGAAAGCGTGGTGGAGCTAAATAATCCACGAACAAAGCCCAGCTTCTTTCAAAATCCGCTTCTTGTTTAGAATAATATTTTAACCTAATAGACAAGTGGGGGAAAAGTAGGCATTTAGAATTTGTCTACTCAGAATTTTGCCAACTCTATTTTTAAAACAGATTTGTTCACAACTACATTGTTCTACATTTTAGAAGATAGTGTTGAATATATGGTGTTGATTTTAGCCTCTGGATCTGAACATTTGAAGAGATGTTATTAGAATTTTAAATCTGGAAATTTCCATCTTAGAAAAATATGTATTTTTAGTCAAATATTTTGTTGTTTTCATAAAGCGTACAAATTCGGTATTTGTGTATATTGGGAAATGATTACCACAAGTCTAGTTAATATTCATCACCATACGAAGGTCACAAAATTTTTTGCTTATCATGCAAAGTTTTAAGATCTATTCTCTTAGCAACTTTCAAATATGCAATATAGTATTATCAACTATAGTAGTTACTATGCTGTACCTTGCATCCCCCTGATACCTTGCATCCCCCTGAAGTATTCATTTTATCAGTGGAAATTAGAACATTTTGACCCCCTTCACCAATCTGTTCTCTGTATCTCTGTATCTGTTTGCTGTATTTGCAGCTTGTCTTTTCTTTAGATTCCACATATAAGTGAGATTATACTGTATTTGTCTTTCTCTATTTGACTTATTTCACTCAGTATAATGCCCTCAAGGTCCATTCATGTTGTTGCACATGGCAAGATTTTCTTCTTTTTTACGACTGAGTAATATTCTGTCACATATATGTACTGCATTTTCTTTATCCATTCATCAATCAATTGACACTTTTGTTTCCATGACTTGGCTATTGCAAATAATGCTGCAATGAACACGGGGGTACAAATATCTTTTTGAACTAGAGTTTTCATTTTTCTTCAGATAAATAACCAGAAGTGGAATTGCTGGATCGTATGGTAGTTCTATTTTTAATTTTTTGAAGAACCTCCATACTGTTTTCCATAGTGATTGCCCTAATTTACATTCACACTTTCTCTTCTTATTGAGAAAGAAATTTTAAATTTATAATGAATAATTTTTCATCTATGTAATCTGTATCACCTGTTCTAGCAATCTTCTGAGTATGTAAACAACTTGCTATTTTGAACCATGCTTGTTCCCTCTGAAATATTTTATACTATATGGCTTGCTTATTAGGCCCAACGTCCTTCAAGACTTCTATGGAAGTCATGAGGCTTGTTACATTTCCTCTGGCATTACTCTGATACCGACATGGGGATCTAGGTATTATGGATTCAGAAAGAAATTGGAACATATCCTGTGGTTAACCTCTGTGAAAGAAACACACCTGTGTATATGTGCTTTCTATGGAGCTATGGGAATACAGAAGATGAAATATCTACCCTGTTCTTGATTATAGAAAAACTGGTAAGCACACCATGCTTTTATCAAAACATCATAGCCAAATCTCAAATTTAAGAAAGAGAAGATATGAAACATAAGGATATTCAGTAGGGGTCATACAATCTTAATAATAGCACAACTAGACATTGCATAAATTATAGGAGAGCCAATAGCACATAGAAGATAAAAAAGAGATGTGGGCATATGTTTTCAATTCTCTTGGGTATTTACCTAGACATAGAAACGTTGGGTCATATAATAACTCTACGTTAAAATTTTGAGGAAGTGTTAAACTCTTTTTCCAAAGTGAGTGCACTGTTTTCTAACCCTGCCAGCAACATGTGAAAATTCCAAATACTCCACACCCTTCCAACACTTGTTACTGTCTGTCTTGCAGATTTTAGCCATTCTAGGAGGTGTAAAGTGCTACCTAACGGTTTTAATTTTTACTTCTCTATTGATTAATGTTTTTTAGCATCTCTTTATCTAGTTATTGGCCATTTGCATATCTTCTTTGGAGAAATACCTACTCAAATCCTTTTTCCATTTTGAAAAATTAGGTTTATTTGGTTTTTTATTATCTAATTGTGAGAGTTTAAAAATATAATTTGGATACAAGTCTTTTACAGATACACAATTTGCCAATATTTTCTCCCATTCTGTGTAATGTCTTTTGTTTTCTTATGGTATCATTTGCTGCACTAAAACTATTTAGTTTTTATGAAATCCGTTTTATCTGCTTTTTCTTTGTCTCTTGTCCTTTCAATGTCTCATCTTAGAAGAAAATTCCTAACTCAAAGTCAAAAAGCTTTATAACGGCTTCTCTAGTTTTAGGTCTTATATTTAGGTCTATGATGCGTTTTGAGTTGTTTGTTGTATTGTAGGAGACAAACTTCATTCATTTGCATGTGGATTTCCAGTTTTCCAGCATTGTCAAAAAGACTGTTCTTGGGGCCAGCCTGGTGGCACAGCAAAGTTCACGTGCTCTGCTTCAGTGGCCCAGGGTTCGCCAGTTCAGATCCCAGATGTGGGCCTATGCACTGCTTATCAAGACGTGCCGTGGCAGGCAACCCACATATAAAGTAGAGGAAGATGGGCACAGATGTTGGCTCAGGGCTAATCTTCCCCCCACCAAAAAAAAAAAAAAAAAAGAAAGGAAAAAAAGCCTATTCTTTACCCATTCAATGGTCTTACCTCCTTGTTGAAAGTCAACTTTTATTTCTGTACTTTCAGTTCTATTTCATTGATCCATATGTCTATTATTATGCAGCAACATGTTGTCTTGATTACTGTACTTTTAGAGTAAGAGATTGACAGAGATTGCATTGAATCTGTAAATAAATTCAGGCAGTGTTGCTATCTTAAAAATATTAAGTCTCCTAATCCATGAACACAAGAAGTCTTTCCCTTTAAATAGATTTTTAACTTCTTTCAACAATATCTTGTATCTTTTCAGTGTAGCCACGTTTCTCACTTCTTTTGTTAAATTTATTCCTATGTATTTTATTCTTTTTGATACTGCTGTAAATGTATCATTTAGTTAGTTTCTTAGTTTCATTTTAGGTATTTTTTATTACTTATGTATAGAAATACAACTGATTTTTGTATGTTGATCTTGTATCTCGCCAGGCTGATGAACTTGCATATTAATTATAATAGATTTTTAGTGGATTTCTTAGAGAAAAAATATTACTTCTTCCATTCCAATCTAGATTACTTTTATTTCTTTTTATTACCTAATTTTCTTGGCTAGTACCTCCACCATAATCTTGAGTAGATGTAGTAAGAATGGAAATCTTGTCTTGGTTTTCATCTTAAGGGGAAAGGATTCAGTCTTTCACCGTTATGATGTCAAGTGTGGGTTTTTCTAAATGCCCTTTAGCAGGATGAGAAAATTTTGTTTTATTCCTAGTTTTTCAAGTGTTTTTATCATGAAAGAGTGTTATCATCAAATGCTTTTTCTGTGTCTCCTGTGATGATCCTGTGGTTTTTGTCCCTTATTCTATTAATATGGTGTCTTATATCGATTGATTATCAGATACTAAAACAACTTTGCATTTATGGAATAAATCCCTATGTGGTCATGGTTTATAGCTTTTTTTGTATGTCACTGGATGCTGTTTACCAGTATAGTGTTTAGGATTTTTGTGTCTATATTAATAAGAAATGTCCGTGTGTAGTTTTCTTTTCTTGTGAAGTCCCTGTCTGGTTTTGGTATCAGAGTAATATTGTCATTTTGCTATTTGTCCTTACATCTTATGTCTTTGCCTTCTTTTCCTTTACTATCATCTTCTTTTGTGGTAAACAGATAGCTTCTAGTGCAGCTTTTTATTCCTTTGGGGTTTCTTACATTTTTTTAAAATTTATTTTCTTAGCTATTTCTTTTAGCTGATGAAATTATAATTACCACCTTAACTTAAAACAATGTAGTTCAGATTAATAGTAACATTTTAATTATTTACATAAATTTTGCTGCAGTATAGTTCAACTCTTGCTCTCCTCCTTTGTATTATTAATGTTATACTAGTTATATCTTTACACATTATAAACCCATCCAAGCAATTTTATAACTATTGCTTTGTGCAGTTGTCTTTTAAAATCAAATGGAAAACAAAAGTGATACAAGAATATACATTCACACTTCTTTTATGCTTACCTATGTAGTTCCTTCACTGAAACTGTTTATTTCTTCATGTACATTTGAGTTACCATCTTGTGTCCTTTCGACTTCAACATGGACACCTTTTATTATTTCTTGAAAGGCAAGTTTGCTAGCAATTAATTCCCTCATTTTCGCTTATCTGGAATTGTCTTAATTTCTCCTGCATCTTTAAAAGTTAGTTTTGCTGTATATATAAATCTTGGTTGACATTTCTTTTCTTTTAAACCTTCAAATATACCATAGCTCTGTCTTCTGTCCTTCATGGGTTCTGATAAGAAATCAGCTCTTAAACTTATTGAGGATCCCTTGTACACAATGAGTCATTTTTCTCGTGCTGCTTTTAAGATTTCTTCTGTCTCTTTGGCTTTGGATACTTTGATGGCAATTCGTCTAAATTCTAAATTAGCTTTTCTTGAGTTCGTGCTACTTAGGGTTTATCGTGCTTCTTGGATGTGTAGCTTAATGTCTTAAAATCAAGTTTGGGAAATTTCTGGCTATTATTTCTTAAGATATTCTTTCTGCCCCTTTTCTCCCTCTCTCGTTCTTGAAATCTCATTACATATGTATTACACGTTTGCTGGTATCCCACAGGTGTGTGAAGCTCTCTTAATTTTTCTTCCTTCCTTATTCTTTTTGTTTCTCACACTGGACAATCTCGATTTGCCTATATTCAAGTTCACTGATTCTTTCTCTTGCCAGCTTGAATCTGCGTTTGAATCCTTCCAGTGAATTACTCATTTTGGCTATTATACTTTTCAACTCCAGAATTTCTATTTTTTCTATTAATTTTATTTCTTTATGGATATTATCTACTTAGTAAGACATTGTTGTCAGTTGTCTTACTTTCCTTAAATTCTTCAAACATGATTTCTTTCACTTCTTTAAATGTGTTCATAATAGCTAATTCAAAAATTGTACTAATGAGTCCATCTTTAGAGCCCACAGAAGAACAATTTCTATTGACTGATTCTCTGTGTATGTATGCATCCATGCAATATTTTATTGGGTTTTTTTTGCACATATTTTACTTTTCTTTTGAACACTAGACATTCCAGACAATATAAAATGGCAACTTTGAAATTTAGATTCCCACTCTTACCAGTTGCTTGGTCCTCTTGTCATAGTTTGTTTATTGATTTGCCTGGACTAATTCTGTTATACAGTCTGTATTCTCTGTAATGAGTCATCACTGAAATCCCTGCTCAGTAAGCTTAATGGTCAGCCAATGATTGGTTAAAGATTTTCTTAAATTCCTTGAATCAGCACGTCTTCTACCCTTTGCTGAGGAACTCTGTGTGTTGGGGCACACCTTCAATGTAAGGGCTTTTACAACTTTGCCTTAGCCTTTACTTCTTACTTATTCAGGGCCTCAATGTGAGCCAGAGGAGAGATATTGGGGTCTTCTCAGTTTTGGCCCAAGTATGTCCTCAGTTCTGTTGATGAGTGTAGGCTTCTAGATCCCCAGGGATATTTCAGGCCTTTTCAAAGTGCCCTATGGGCATCTTATCCTCCAGATTGTCCTTTTAAGTTTTTGGCCTGGCCTTTGTTTGCTGCAACTGCTATAGCAGTCTCAGGCAGCTGAAATGTTAAACAATTGATGCTGATTGATTTTCCACAAATGCCTTGGGTATAGAACTTTGGCCACAGAATGTGTAGCTTAAGTAACTACAACACCTTGAGAATAAAATTTTTCCAGGGAGCTGTGAGGCAGGTCAAATAGTGACAGTGCTCTGGGGGTGCGGCTTTTTGAGGATCTCCAAACCGAGTATGCTCTTTTGGTGGCTGCACAGCTGCTGGTTTTCACAGCTACATTAGTTACAAGGCTGTTGTTTTTCGAGGCTCCTGCAGAACTAGGGGAAATGGGATGAGATAGGCCAAGTTAAAAGACCACAAACCCTGCTGTTCTTACCTAAGTTTATCACTTTTGTTGAACAAATATTTTTCAGATGTTGCAAGCCATTGGAGAATTCCAATAATTCTGAAAGTGTTGATTTTGACCATTTTTGACAGCATTTTTGTTGCTTTTATTAAGGAGTAAATTTAGGGAGATCCTCACTCTGCTGTTCCAGAAGTACCACCCAAATTGTTTCCTTAATAGTTAAAGAAGTGGAGTCACATAGAAAAAATAACCCAATTTTCTACAACTAATAATATGTAGATCTAGGATTTGAGACCAGATGTTCTGGTTGAAAGAATCCTATACTTAACTTCTACCCTATATATCCTTTTTGAAAAAAAAATAATAGTTGAAGTCACTTTATATTGATTGCAGATTATATGGCAATTATTATGCTATGAATGTACTTCTAAAACAACCCTAATGTGTTATTATTCCCATTTTACAGATGAAAAAGTGATTAGAGATTTCTCATGTCCAAAATTCAGGATTCAATACTTAGATTTGTCTTCAATGAAAATTATTTTAAACACTAAAAAGTTTTACTGTATCAAAGAATGATCATTATCTTAACACATTCCAATACAACATCTGAATGAAATTATAAAAACGGTGTACTAAATAGGAACATATCAACAAAAAGATTAGAAGATAAAGTTGAGGAAATTGGATAGAAAGTTGCAAAAAACAGAAATGTGGAAAGCAAGAGGAAAAAAACTAGAACAATTAGATTTATGATGTAGGAGATTTGACACAGAAGTACAGGAATTACAATAGAACAGAGAAAATGGAGTTTTAGGCTATGCACTCTGCAAGAAGAATGGAAAATAACACACTAAATCACAACTCCTTGAAATTTCAGAAGCTTTATGAAAAAAGTGAATACCTATAATACTATTTTTTATCTATGATTCTACACTCAGCTAAATTATCAGTCAGGTGTCTTGATAGAATAATGTTAATTTCAGATATGTAAAGACTCAAATTTAACCTTCCATCAACCCTTCTTCTCCATTGAAAAATTGGATTCACAAAAATAAGGAAGCAAATCAAGAAAAAAGATTATATAAGATGCAATCAAGTAAGTGTGAAGGGTAGGTTTGTTTACTTAACTAATTAAATTCTGAGGTGGTGCTTGAAAAAAACAGGCACATACACATTTAAACTTATTCACCAAACAATTCATATGGATGTCTTTTTTCTAGGTTATTTATTAATTTTATATATTGAAAAATGAGTCAAGTATTTCCAGATTATTCAATAATTAGGAATAAATGCAATGAGCATGAAAAACTAAGCAAATGACGGAAATTATATCTATAAGCAAAACTTATCTGCAACATCCTTAAAATTTAACTACCTGAAGTACTGTCATGTTTGTGAGCATAAAAGCAGGTTCTCTCATCCCAAGGAAAACACAAATGCTCTGTAGACATAGTAATAAGTGGCCAACAAACCATTTTAGACTTCTTCAATCAATCAACAAAAACTAGTCTTCATGAACAGGTTTTTGCAAGCCTTCAATTAGTGACATCCCCTTATTTCTGAAGGTCAGCCAACCAGGAATGGATTCCCTGTATAAACATGATTCTACTGACAATTGACAACTGTCTCACCTGAGTAACCCTCTTATACTGATGGTTCAATTCACTTAAATGCCTGAAAATCTACCAATCCCTGAACTCAGTATCTCCTAACCACCCATCACAAGATGAGAAGAGTGCTCTGCTCAGTGATACTGTCCCTGACTGACATTCTCTCTTCCTAGAGTTGAAATAAATTCAGTTTTGTCATTTTATTTCAGAAATTGGGTGCTATTCTCATCATCGTTTGAGAGTTGCCATGAAAAATGCTATTTCCTAGGAGAATTTAGTTTTGCACGTGATTGGGAAAATCTACAAATGAAAAAATATTATTTTACAAACTATGTTCTATAAACTATAATGGCTTGATCTCAATTCCAATCTTGATTTTGTCAACTCCCTCTATACTTCTTTGGCTGATAACCTCACCCCTTTTTGTCAGTCATCAGAAGTAGGTTGGGAAGTTGAGCCACAACAAAAAAATGTTATAATGGCTACAATCCTAATTCCTCTCACAGACATGCCAAGAGGATGAACCGTCCCATTGACCAATTAAAAAGTTAGCCCTTGAAGCAATACCAAGAGATAAAATATACAAAGCAGTATAAGTCTCCTGACTCTGATTTTTTTTTTTATCTTAGTTGGGCTTGGGGTCATTAAGAAAGACAAAAGTAGGTGGTTAACAAGAAGACCTCAAACATGTGAGCCAGTTTGCATGTGATCTTTAAACCAGTTAATCTATTTTCCTTTTTTCTTCACAATGTCTCACTCTGGGTGGCAGATAATACCCCTACTACAGTGTCATTCACTTCCATACCAACTCATGCTCCCTTATTCAACCTAGTTTGCTATAAAATGGGGAGAATTTTGAGATTGTTTCAGCTATCTGGCGTGATAACCAAGATGCTTCTTGAATATTTCCCTCCAAATATGTGTTAACCAAGTTATTATCTCTGATCAAAATGATGTAAAGGTCCTGCAATTACTTGCTATTACATCCTTCTGGTTTATAGACAACAGTTCATGTTGAAATAACATTTTTTTGGTCTTATACTTCTGGTTTCACTTGGTTTATTGCTTTTTATTTCATTATATTTTGTTTTACAAGCTTACTTTTCTTCATATTTTTCCCTCCCTAGTTATAAAATACTTTTGAAATTTATCAAGTAAAACATTTTCTTGCCAATTTTCTCTTTATCAAATACTCATCTATGTTTGACATATTGGTAAATAGGTAAATTGCAAAAGACTTCAATGGAAAAAAATGGTGTAAAATTGAAAGATTGTTATCACATTAAAACAAAATAACTTTAGATCCATTCTTACCTATCATGAAAACTTTTATGAGCAATTTTCAAAGACGAGACATGTGCAGCCCATAAGTACTTCAACAGGTCATCAAGGTTATCAGAACATGACTTTACATGCTGTTCAAGAAGTAAAACGCTGTTAATATTTAGGCAATTATAACAATCTGTATTCCTGAAAATCAATTCTATTTACAAATATAATTTTTCAACATTCTAAATGAGGGGAGAATATTTTTTCCCAGAGTTAAAGTATGAAAGAGTTAATGCTCAACACTCCGTAAAGAGCTTTGTATTAGCTATATTAATTACTAGTAATACTGATCCATTTGGAAGGAATAAACCATGTGCTTTTGAAATGTTTAGAGTTTTATACTGTTAAGAACTAGAACTTTAGTGTTTTACTTCTTTGTTTTTCTCTTGCCATGCAATGAACTTTCCACAAAGTCTTCAGAGTCAGAATTGGGGGAAATGGGAAGAATAAGAGTATTTTATCTAATCATATGCAATATAATGAACAAGGTCTCTAAAGGGAAATTGGATCTTTGGATATTTACTCTTTCACCCATGATGCTTTGCTTGGGATATCAATATACGATTCTGATTGTCAAATGACCATTTCAGTCAACTAATATATGACTGTTTATCATATTATTGTTTATAATTGTTTATGAAATAAGCTGATCAAATTCCCCACAGTCTATTCCATAACTGTATTTATATATAGGTTATTGCTCAGTTGACCTGAAATTGTGGTGATCTAGGATACTTCATGCACTATGAAGCCATAATTTCTCCAGGCTCAGGTGTTTGTATATAATTTATTTGGTGTGAGAAGAGTGGACAGGGCAGCCTCAATACTATATTGGTCATAAGGGTACTAATGAGATACGATGGCATGCAGTAATCTACTCATACTAATATTGCTGTCATCATAATAAGCTTTTTCATTTTAAGAACTGCATTCCTTAGGAACATATTATTCAATGCACAAAAAAATCTACATTAAATATTATTGAAAAATTATCTGCTACCTTCAAAGAGTATTTATGAAAACACTAAAAAAAACCTGATAAAATTCATTCCACTTTTTCATTGCTTCTGGAAAGGATGAATGACAGCTAGAAACATTATAACAAAAACTCATCTGATCCTTGGATGGTGGCAAAAAAGTGACATTGTCTGATGATATCCCCATTATGCCGGAATCAATCGCAGCAAGGAAGGGCATTGCAGAGAGATAATAATTAAAGTCTGTATAAACAAAAAGTTATTATTAATGTTAACATATAAAAGAGGTTGTTTTTGAAGTAAAGAAATCTACCATAAAAGTAAATCCACAGATCTAGAAACATGGTAAAACTTAAGCAGTAGTTCTGGGCACTTCAGAAACTTTATCAAAAATTTCCTTTAGTGTTATATGCAACTCGAATATGCTTTTCTTAAAAACTCTGCTTTCATAAAGCAGAATGAATTTATGTTGTAGATTTATTATTTTAAATCATAGATAATAATTACATTGAAATTTAAAAACACTAAATTCTAAAGCACAATAAATGAAAAAGGAAAATTTAGTTACTTATCCATACAATGCTGTGCATACAAAAATACACACATACAAAACTCTATGAGTTTTTATTCTGAATTTGAAAATCTGATGTACCTTTAAAATATTCTAGTACGTATCTAGATTTTTTCTTGTTAAAAACATTTTGTTTGATAATATATCACAAATTCCTACTTCTGTTCTATGTATTTAAAGAAAGTTTTGAGGTTTACAAGTTTTCTCTGGTTGATATTTTCATAATTGGATAAGGTACTTAGTAAATTTAAAAAATATCTATCTAAAAATCCATCTCAAAACATTCAGAGGATTTGAGTCAAACAGATTATTTTTGTAAAAGTAGTAATTCTGGGGGTTTTTCCCCTAACTGAGATTATAGGTTGAATTGATTCTTTGTGGAAAGGTCATCAATCTGAGGTTTGACTCTTACATCAAACTCACCGGCCCACCAACTGTCCACAGAGATGCACAGATGATCCCCAGATTCATGGCCGCAGCCAGTCCTTTGGGTGGGATCAGCTAACCTGCCTGAAAGAGAGAGGATCTAGAATTGGGTTTACTTGGCCTATTTTTAAGCTGTATGTAAAGTAGGTACGTTATGTTTACAAGAATGCATAAAATTTTTATTCTCTGAAAGAACTGTGTCAGCCTTCTCAGCACTATTTTTCCTTCACTTCTTGACATTTTACTTCTCATCTCCCATTTATATTCCTTCCTTTTCTTTAATATCCCTACAATAATCTACTCTTTCTCCTAGACCTTATTTTTTTAACCTCTATAGTTTTTATTTCTTCTACTTTCTAACTCCTCTACTCTTTATCTTCAACATCAGGGAGTTGATATTGTATAATGAACAAAATCTATACTCTATTTGCCTAAAATCAAATCCTTTTTCATTGCTTGCCATATTTTACCCTGGATAAATAAATTCTGTGTCTCAGTTTTCTAATCTGCATCCTAGGGAGACTAATAACAATTACCTCATTAAGGTTTAGGGATGTTGAATGAAGAAAGCTATGCAAAGTGCTCAGCTCAGTGAACATGTGCTCTAAAAATATTAGCCATTATTCTGTTTTTTCCCTTTCTCTTTCTTGTTCCTGACCCTATATTCATGATGTCCTTCTCACCAGTTCTACCTGTTTTTTCCCCATGAACCTATTATGTTTCCTCTTCATTCTCTCATTCTAGTTCCTCACTTGGTTCTTCTTGACCTGCTTACCTTCAACTCGGCAAGAGTAAAGATCTGGGTAGTTCTGTTAGTGCATATAAATTTCTTAAAATTGTTATTCCTTTTTTAAACTGGAATAATATTCAAATATGTGAAATGTTCCTCTCCTGAATCTTAGATTTTTCTCACATTTGGGAGTTGTTTTGACTGTAATTCCAAGAGTCTCTCCTGTTAAGTCCACTCACTCTCTGAGGACATTCACCCATGATGCTAACCTAAGGACTTCTTTATGTTGCTTACTTCCATATCTTCTGATCTAAATCCTCACTGTGTGCCAGTTCCATGTTTGTCAATCCCTCACAGAACTCCTATAGTGGTGATTCCAAGTTATCTCCAACTGAACACACCTGAGACTGAGCTCTTCATCTTGACAGTAAAGGAAGACTGCTTCATGAACTTTCCATTGTTTCTTTTAAGAGTTCCTTTTCTTCTTTTGCAGGGAAAGATTCACCCTGAGCTGACATCTGTTGCACATCCGTTACCAATCTTCCTCTTTTTTATTTTCCTCTCCAAAGCCCCAGTGTATGGTTGTATACCCTAGTTGTGAGTCTCTTTAGTTCTTCTATGTGAGTCTCCAACTCACAGAGTCACCAACTGACAGGCTGGTGGTGTGGTTCCAAGACCAGGAAATGACCCCAGGCCACCAAAGTTGTAAGAATGTCGAACTTTAACCACTAGGCAATCAGGGCTTGCTCATGAACTTTCTGTTTTTTGCCAGAGGATTTTCACTACTCTTCTAGACATCTTCAGCACTTTCCCCTTCTTTATAGTCAAACTGTGTTCTCCTGTTGTTTTATCCTCTGAAGACTTTTTTTCTTGCCTTCCCGTGGCGAGAAATGCTTTCTATACCTTTCATCAAAATTTGGTTTTTGTCACACCCATTTTTTCAAGAACAAAATTAATGCTATATTTGTTACTATTCAAACACAAATTTCTGCTGTGAACTTACTCTATTCCCCCACTATATCATGTCCCTAACAAAAGTTACACATCTCCCGTACTCTCAACATTTCCCTCTCTTGTTTTCTCACATATATCACACTAACTCCAAACTTTGTCCTTTAGTTCATTCTATTTCTTTCTTCATGGATTACTTCTTTTTTAATTCATAAACATTCTATCCTTTTTTCAAGATTCACTTCAAAACTTCTATTTCTAGATTATTCCAGTTCACAACACTCTCACTTTTATCTGGTATCTTATGTTTTCCCCTTAACTGTCCTCTAGGTTGTATCATTTCTAACTTTCCTTCCTAATCATGTTGGGAAGTCATGAAATCTACTGTAAATATCTTTTATGTTTGCCTCAGTCATCCCTTTTTTCATCTCTTTTTCTCTTTGGTGCACTTCCTTATCCTGTGTCTGACTCCCAATATTCTCTTCCTGATTCCAACATTTTTCCAATTAAACTTTCTGCTAAGCAATAAAAATGAATGAATATTGACTATTAATTCAATTAATTATTGACTAATAATGAGTGAATATGCAACTAGATTGATGAATCTCAAAGTAATCAAGACAACTGAAACAAATCAAACAAAAAGAGAATATACAACTGTTTATATGAAAATTCTAGATAATGCTGTCTAATGTGCAATCATAGAAACCAGATCAGTGGTTACCAGCGTAGTTGGGGAATGGGGCGGGGTGAGGAGTTGAGTGACTCAGGGGGCAGGGAGGGCATGGACATAGAGAGTAAGGAAGTTCCTGAAGATGAGAACACAAAGGGAAAAGAATTTGTTTTGGAGGGTGAGGAAGATTGTCCCTGAGCTAATATCTGTGCCAATCTTCCTTTGTTTCGTATGTGGGGTGCCACCACAGCATGGCTTGATGGGTGGTGTGTAGGTCCGCGCCTGGTCTCCAAACCCACAAACCCCGGGCCACTGAAGCGGAGCATGTGAACCTAACCACTGTGCCACCAGGCCAGCCCTGAATAGAGCGACGCATAAAATAATTATCTGTGGTGATAGGTTCAAGGCTTTACACATATATTGAACTTATCAATACATTTTTAAATGTACAGTTTATTGTATGTTTATTATATATTAATAAAGCTATTTAAAAAAATCTGCTAAACAAGAAAGAAAGAAACATTTAAAGTGCTCAAGTATTGCATAAACATTAGGTCCTTGTTACTAAACTAAACCATGTTGCTTAAGAGCCCAATTAAAATTCCTCAATCTGACTTTAAAAATATCTCCTAAACTGGCCCTAATTGATCTCAAATTTACCACCCACTACTCTTTTGCACATTCTAATTTTCCTGTCAATGCAGTAGTCTTGCTCCCAATATAGTCTGCTGTCATTGCCATCTTTGTAATTTGTATTCTAGCAATACCTCCATCAAGCTTTCTGGTCCCACTTTATTCTTGGGATAATCTCAGCCCATGGTTGTCACCTCTCTTCCCTGAGCTGCTCCTGTACTTATGGTCATTATCTTCGGTTTCAGACCTCGCATATTGTTGGTGAAAAAACTTTATGGGCTACTTTCACAATTTTTGATCCTATTTTGGTTATCCCTAGTTATGTCAGAGTTCAACTCAATTAAATTCTAAGTAAAATCAATCACTTAAAAAAGAGAAGAATCTCACTTATTATGTTCATAAATGAAAATGAAATTTTGAAAGGTATCCAGTCAAACGTTCTTTCTTGCTATTTGCTCGTTACTGGACCCGGAATAGAAAACTTTCCTAAGGGTCGATGTACATCCCGTTCGAGAGTGTTGGTTATTGTTTACAGTGGACCTTATGTTTGAGCTTCTCCTGAACCATGTCTCAGGAATTCAGAAAGTCCGCTTCTCCATGCCAAGGACAGACTAAGAATAGGTGTTATACTGGATGGCAGGAGATCCTTCCTACCCTAGTTTAGGATGTTATCATAGATCAGACCTTGAAGAGTCTCCTCCCTTATCTTTCCCACAACACATCCACTTTCTCAGTGATTCTTTTCTTCCAATACTGTTTTCTGGAAGCTATTGATAAAATTCTCTTATTTCTTGAATGACATTTTTAGCCAGAATAAGATAGGTTGTGATTTATGATATTTTTGCTCCAAAATAAATCTCTACTTTTATTTCTGATCATAGAAACAGTTTTCAGGGAGAGAACATATGAGAGAAAGGTTTTCCTACAGAGGATTTTTAAGGTCTATTGGACATTGCTGGGTAGAAAAACCATGCACCCAGGGGGCATTCCATAAATGCTTAACAGAGAGATTACGGGAGAATGAGGAGAAAAATAGAAGAGGAAGAGTGAGAAAAGAATAGCTGGAAAGGGAATAGGAAGGGGAAAGAGAGAAAAAAATAATTTTCAAAAAGGTGGTAGTATATATACCAGTTACTACTTTCTATTTATTTTAAAGTTAGATCAAAGGGTAATTGCAATGAGAAGGAGAGTCGTTCTTACCTGTATAATATTGCCATCCATGATGTACAGGCAATCCCCATAAAATATTTTGTTCATTTTCGGGTGCAAATTTTTCAAAATACTTGGCTGTCTTGTTCAATAGGATTTTATATGTCCCCATTCTCTCAAGGTAATGCCAGACATTAATAACATACTTTCCATTTTCTACCTTGTAGTCACTGAACTCACCAGGACTCTCTTTCCACAGAGGGGGATATGCATCTGAGATATTGGACGTTTCTGCCAAAGAAGCAAAAATACAAACAATTACTACATAGTCCCAAGAAAGATCGAGCGCCATACTGTTTAACCTGGAGATTAAGGTTATGACAGGACTTTTATTGGGAAGTAAAGGAGGAAGTCATATTACTTGTTACACCTCTTCCAATCAATGCTTTCAGTTCTCTTTCCTGGTAATGACAGGGCGGAGATAAAAAAAAAATACCTTGCCAAAGATAATAGGATACCTCACTTGTTAGCCATCTCCCCAAAAAATAATGTTGACTATGTATCAGTCTCTAGAATTTTTAGTAAGACTTGGTTTCTTCCTAAATTTGTTTCTGTGTCTGTATTCTATCCGTCTGTCTCTCATACTAACTATGATAATAAATTAGATGTCCTTCCCAGAGGTACTTGTATTTTAAAGGATGACTATTGATCCAAAATAATCTCTAATTGGTGGGATTTCAGCAATGTAAATGATAAAGTAAGTAATTTTAGGTAGAATTTGGAAGACATTTTAATGATATTTGGGACTTCACCAAATCTCTCTTAATTCTCAGCCACGTGCAAGTCCAGATGTGTACGTCAGACCTGTCAATCCAAAATCCTCATTAGCAGGATCTGATCCAAAGCCTTGTGTCCAGGTAGTTTACTTCAGGGGTTACAGAATGAAAGAAAAGGAGAAAGAATAAAAGGGAAGGAGGAAAAGCTAAGACAAGAAGAGATAATTGGCTTCCCTCCACTAAGGGTAAGAGTGTTATGTTGTCTTTGGACTAATATGGAACATTCTTATGAAAGAACCACTGGCCTTGAGGATGGAAGCGAGAAGAATTTTCTCTCATCATCCACTCATCAAAGATGACCCAAAGGGTAGAAGCTCTCCTGTGGTTCTGGTTGCACAGTCCAGTGTGTTAAGTGGGCTCTTGCAGGTGTCCCATGTAGAAGCAGAAGTGAAGGAACCCAGGACAGTAGGTAAGAGGTACAAGGAGTGATGAAATTAAGCTGTAAATTGCACCTGCATGAAGCAAGTCAAAGCCTGTGTGGAACTGATCATTGCAGCTGTGGCTGCAGTCAGAATTGAATCCAAGAGGATTCAGGAGTGATGCACAGAGATGGTCAATTCAGAACCCCTGCACTGTGACCTGAACTACGGGCCATAATTGGGAATATGCAGGCCATGGGCTCATGCAAGTCCAGTGCTTCCCTGTATATGTGTGCTGTGTGTTTATTCTAACCAAAGTGAGTTGGTTAGAAAATCATTCTCAACCTTCAGACCTAGTTTGACAGATATTCATTGAGCAGTGACCTTATTCCTGGTGCTGCATCAGCAGTGACCTGCTTTTGGGAACAAAGTAGAAAGTAGAAAGAGTCTCTGAGATGTTCAACAGAAGATTACTGTAAAAATTTAATCTCTAATGAAGGAAAGTAATTTGTTGTGTGATAGATGAACTTTACCTTCAATTTGACTTTTTTCCCAGCTTCATTGAGGTATAAATGACAAATAAAAATTGCATATATTTAATGCACATAATATAGTGTTTTGATACACATATATATTGTGAAATGATTACCACAATCAAGCTAATAACACATCCATCACCTCATATAGTTACCATTTTGTGTGTATGTGTGTTAAGAATATTTAAGATTTGCTTTCTTAGCAGATATCAAGTATAAAATACAGTATTATTAACTGTAGTCACTATGCTGTAAATTAGATCCCCAGAACTTACTCATCTTATAACTGAATGTTTGTACCCTTTGACCAACACCTCCCCATTTCCTGCACCCTCCAGTCCCTGGCAACCACTATTCTACTCTCTGCTTATGTGAGTTCAACTTTTTTAGATTCTGCATATAAGTGAGATCATACAGTATTTGTCTTTCTTTTGTCTGGCTTATTTCACCTAGCATAATGTTATTCAGGTTCATCCATGTTGTTGCAAATGGCAGATTTCTTTTTTATGGCTAAATAATATTCCATTGACTTCTTCCTATAATTTACATTTTCTTATTACACAGAGGAGAACTAAACACATATGCAATGCTGGAAGACTGTAATGGAGGAAGACATCTTAATGTTCAAGAATCCTGTCCGTGGAGTAGGAAGGTTTATGCATAATTGTCAGGAATTTTTTCGAATTATAATATATTGACTGTTATTATCTTAGTCTTTTAGACAATATTGACATTACTAATCCTAACAATTCAAGATGGCCTTTTAAACAACTTTTTACCTCAATAATCTAGATGGAATGGAAAGTTTAATTTTTCATTTCTTCTGGAAGGAAGACATTGCTTCATTCTTTCACTCATTCTTTGATTAATTATCCATTTAGTGAACACCAAATAAGTGTGATATGTTATGGAGAATGAAAACATTTAAAAGACTCAGATAACATTTATTCTCAGGGCTAAAAAATGTCTCAAGAAAATTATGAGGAAAGAGTTATAAAAGTTCTGAAAAGGGAGTGGTATCTGTAGGTCTGAGTTGGCAATGGGACATCAGGTAAAGGGAGATTTTACAGAGCAGATGGCCTCTGAGTTAGAATCCATCTTTATTTACATACATAGCTTTCCTTTCCATATAACTTGCTTTGCCCTGGAAGGAAATCTTGAAGCGGTTGAAAATGGAATGCAAAGAGAGATGAAGTGATAAGTACAGTGTGAGGGAGAGCTCATTTGTATGCACTCAGGTGAGTTCCAGGCGTGAGTTGTAGCTTGCTAAGACGCCAGTTCAAGTGTCTGTTCTTCTATGAATCTTCCATGCACGTTGCCATGCATGCAACAGGTCTTCATTTAATGCATTTAATTGCATTTGACTTTAGCAAATGAGATTGTATTCTGGATATATTGTGAATAGAGCAGTGAAAGAAAAAAAAAAAGAAACCAGTAGCTCTTAATTTTCAGTTCTAAGCTAATTGTTCTGTACCAAATGGCTACATTGAAACATTTTTTATTGCCGTTTGTGTTTATTCATCCTCCTTGCTATATAGCTGTTTCATAATCCTTAAAGTGAAACTTGATGCTTGTGGACTTGAGTTGGGTAACGACACAGGCCCAGGAAAGATTGGCTACCACTTATTAACCACTTTTAATTTATACAGAATTTTAATATAACCTGGCAGTGAAATTCTCACCAACTAACTGCCCCAAGTAACTCAAAGGAGGTTTTGAAAGCCCCTAACTCTTTCCCAAAGCTGTTTTTTAACTAATGTTAAGAGATACAATCGCCAACTGCCCTGAACTGGTCCAAACCCCATGGCAAGAGCGACGCCTGTGCAGACGGGCTGAGATTTGTCCAAAAGTTACCTTTGCTTCTTTTAAATGTTAAGATTTCTGCCCCAGGAGGAGCTTAAGCCTTATTAGCATAACATGTGATGTATGTGAAAGCAAACGTTTCCAAACTATGCCTATCTGAGCTTATACCCACCTATACACGTGATGACAAAACTTTTGAATATTCGTTCTCCATCCAAACAAAAGGGTCTGTTTCCTTTCTCCTGGGGAGCCATGGCTTTGGAATAGATTCCCTGTGGTCTCCTTATTTGCTGCAAATAAAGTGTACTTTGTGTGACCACTACATCTGGTAAAGGCTTGATTTCACCTCACCGAGAAGCAAATCCACTTTGGTTCAGTAACAAAATCAGGTGAAAGTTTGTTTAATTGCCAATATTTTTTCTTGGTTAACTATCTATAAGCATCTAATATGTTTTCACTCACATTTTCTTTGTCAAATTTGATGTGTCTTCTTACATTCAGTGTGTTGAAATGTCTTCAAATATACCTAAGAAAAAAATTGGTCCTTTATATAAAGGGATGATATAGTGATACAGAATTGTGTTGTTACTAGAACAGTAGTGGCCAAAGAATTATTTAAGGACATCATTGTAATATTCCAGGACATGAGGTAGTTTGCTGCATCACAGATTTCAGGCACAAAACTAGAATTCTCTCACTTTGGTTATAATCTCTGCTGTAAAATTGAATAAAAACAGTGATTAACCTGTTTCTGTTGTGTAATTTTCCATCAAAGGCAATCTTTTGTATGTGTGTTATCATTTTGATATACTGTTAGGTTCATTTGTCTATGTTAAGATTCAGTTTTTTGTTTTTAACTATCTTCATTTAATTTTATTTTTAATGTAAATTATTAATGTGTTAAATGTCAAAACCATATGAAAAGGATATACCGCAAACTTTTTCCTTTTGTTATCCATGCTTAACCCATGTTTACTCACACATGAGTGACCAATTAGTTTCCAGTTTATCCATTCTGGCTCTTTTTCTTTGTAAAAATAAGTATATCTCTGTGTCTATCTATTTATCTACTTCTATATTTATGTATCTGTCTCTTATTATTCTCTTACTTTTTCTACAAAAGGTAGAATACTATATTTACTCTTTGGAGCCCTAATTTTTTCACTTAAATTTTTCTCTGGGAAATTATTATATATGCCCTTATAGAGATAGTCTTCATTTAAAAAGTGTTTTTTTGTTTGTTTTTTTTTATAACTACCTAGCACTTCTCTGTGTGGATGTTTCAAAGTTTACTCAACCAATATGCTATGTATGGCCATTTAGATCTTTTTCCAATATGTTTCAAATGCCAAGAATATCACAGTGAATAACTTTGGATATATAATGTTTTCCATTTCTTAGGAGGTGAATCTTTTAGGTAAATTCCCAGAAGATAAATTGCTTGTTCAAAAGATTAGTGCATAGGAACTTGTGATTTTGGAACAAAAGGGCATAGATTCACATTTCCCTAATTCACCCCTCTACATAGGATGAAATGCCCTCGAAATTATTCTACAGACCATGATAAAAGGACTCAGAATGCTGGATAGAAGAATGTGGACTGGCTAGAGAGCTCAGGAGTTTAGGAATGACATTGTGATGAGTTTTCTGAGTTTTCATTCATTTTCTACCTAACCCAAGGCTGGGAGCCAGAGAGACCTGCAAGCTGGAACTTCCAATAGGAATACACAGGAACAAGAAAAGCTGCTCTCTTTGGC